CCAATACCTATGATCATCTATATGATCATCAATCACACATCATACTAGTCTTAGTATATCATTATTCCCACAATGATACATGACTAGGGAGTTTAGTATTATTCATAACAATACATGGATTTCACAACATATCTGGTATGCACAACATGTAATGAATCAAACACTTTCATAAAATTATAGAAAGTATCAATACATCAAATGTATCCAAAGAAAGCTCGCAAACAGTACATCATAGAGCACTAAACCAACAATAACGTGTCGGTATGAACAATAACGGTAGACTCCACCATAAATATATTTTATTTATAACAAAATTATCTTTGTTATAAGCATTTGAATTTTTGGTTTTGAATGGAAACAAAATTCAATAGTATAATGAATGAGACAAGGTGGCCGATTATTTGGGCTAAAAATAATATTTTGGTGGCTAAATAATATGCAAACAACAATTCTCTTTCTTTTTTTTTTGATAAAAGGTAAATGTATATTAATAAAAATAGTTCGTGTACATAACCGGATAGGACCGAATACCCTACAAAATGAATACACATGTGTCTTTAACTAGACACCATATCAGTCAATAAAAAACAACATGTGGAGCAGCTATCGGGGATAGAGAGTAAGATAGTATCAATCGGATAGAAGAGCCGAGTCAATCCTACGGGAGGAGCCGAGGAGAGAGAGTATGCAGTTACAGACCATGGCATTTAGTTTACCACAAAGCGAGGCAACCGTCGATGACTCCCCTCTGAAGATCCTTGCGTTTCTCTCCGACCATAACAGGTAAATCGAGCATTGCAGCAAAATAAGGGTGATAAGACGCCGATTATGGGACTGGACATTTCCTGGGCGACGCATCTAATCCATAGTGGCATGCAAATCTAGAGGCGGCATATTCCAAATGGATCGAGCGAAACTGTACCAGACCTGCCTACTATAGCTGCAGTGGAAGAAGAGGTGGGAGTGAGACTCCTCCTCCAAGCTACAAAGAAGGCAGGAAGAGGTTGCAACCGCCCCCCATCGGTACAGTCGATCGAGCGTGGGTAGGCGACCACGAAAAGCCAACCACTGGATGAAGCCATATCTAGGTACTCCCTCGGGGAACCAAGCTAGAGAGTGTCAGGGTACTTCTGGCGATGGCTGACGGAGAAGTTTCCAGGTACTTGCAGAGGAGAAAACATCGGCAAACACATTGGTTCTCTGCTTCCATTCGAATCTATCAAGGCCGTGGGCGGATCTTGGCAATCGCATTGTAGATAGCCTGATGTGGAGATCCTGCACTCGTTGGGATCTTGCTGCTGGTAGCGACCACCCCGCGGACGAGACTGCATCAGCTACCTTGGCTTGCCGTGGAATCCTCACCAAACGCGGACCGTTATCACCTACATACTCAATCAAAGGACCTAAATTTGTCCAATCATCAAACCAAAAAGAAGCTTGTTTACCATCGTCCAAGGAGCAACGCAGGAACGGTCTCACCACCGGCCGAAGAAGGATGAGTTTTCTCATATTCCAAGAGAACCTAGAGGAAGGGTTGGTGTCCCAATAGCCCCTACGTTGGCCCAAATGAACATGAAAAAACGAAATACAGCCTTTGTTCAAATGAAGAACCCATGCAGTTTACGTAATGTTTCTTGAGGGAAATTACCACATTTTTTATGATTTTTTGTATATGATATGATTCAACAAAAATTCAATAAAATATCTCTTCTTCCAATTAATTACAAATCCCCAACCTCGTTCATATTAATGCTATTCAAATTTTAAAAGCTCGAACCGGAAAATAACAAAAAAAAGGCCCAAACCCACGGTTCAGAAGCAAAGTTGAAAATATAAATTTTTTTAAAAAAAAGTGAAAGAAAATCCGAGTTGGCCAAGGGTCAAAACTCGGATGAGTTAGCGCAAGACTCCTCGCCCTCGCCGCCGCCGATTCGACGCCGAGTCCTAGTCACCGCCGCCGAGTCAAGCAACTCCTCCCAGTCAATGTCTTCGTTCTCCGACGAGAGCTCTTCCGTCTTCGCCCTCATGGCCTCCATCACCCGCCTCGCTTTCTGCCTCGCACGCTCCCTCCCCGTTCTCTCCACCTTCGTCAGCACCTCCGCCGCGTTCGCCGCCATCGCCAGTCCCTTGAATATCAACCCACCGCCGTGACTCAATCCGTACAACACCGCCACGCAGCTCTCCCGAGTTAGCTCGTCCAGCTCGTTCGGCCCCCGTAGCAGACCCACCATGCACTCAACCGCGCCCGAGTCGAGCAGAGCGTGACGACTCATCGGGCACGACGCCATGTTGCAGAGTATCAGCAGGACCCGACCCGTTCTCGCCATGTTTAGCAGAACCGGGACCGAACCGAGCTTCACGAGCTTGCTCCGGTTGCTCTGGACGAGCGAGAGGTGGTACAGAGCCAGGGCCGAATCGTGCCGGGTTAACTCGGTCCCGACCCGGAGGAGGTGGAGAAGCGGCTCGAGGGCTCCGAGGACGCCGACTGCCGTCTTGTTCTCGTCGTCGAGGGCGAGGCTGAAGATGGCACCGGCGGCGTGTTCCTGGGCCTCTGGCGAGCCACCGGATTTCAGGACGTCGACGAGCGGAGGGACGAGTCCTGATCGTACGATCCTCACCTTGTTCGATCTCTCCAGCGAGAGGTTCACCAGCACCGCCGTGGCGTTCACCTGAACCGCCGCGTATCGTGAGATGATCAGCGACCGGAGGGCGGAGATCAGTCGCGCCGTACAGAACCGAGTTCTGGAGGCCTGGTCGATCCTCGTGACGCGTCTCAACAAAATCAGAGCTTCTTCTACATCCGAGAGTCGTGGGCTTTTCAGCTTCACGAGCAGAGCTTCCTCCTCGGGGCTCGGGTTTGTGTTCAACGTCTCGATATCGGCGGAGGAAGGCGATGAGAAGCAACTCGGCCGAGTCGTGAGCTGGAACGGGAGACTCGAGGACGCAACTGAGTCATTCGAGCTGGAGTGGAAGTGACTCGGTCGCCGGTCCAGCTCCGTCGCGGCGTGGTCAAGCCTCACCGAGGGCTTATCCTTGATCGCTTGGATAAGCTCCTTCTCAGAAACCGACACTTTCGGGCTCGGGTTCGATTTCTGGGTCTTCTCCATGAACGCGCGAACGAGCTTCTCCGCGGCGGCGGAGCCGAGTGGCTTCGGCGGGGGGATCGATTTCTGTCTACACCAGCTGATAATTGCGGATTTAAGAGCGAGATTCGGGATGACGGCTGAGAAATCCGGTGGCGACGACGGGAACAAGGAGATCGGTGTAAAGCCTAGGGTTTTGCAGGCTACAACACAGACGTTTTCGAAGGAGTGACCGGAGGAAACGATGACTGGGTCAGATATCAACGACCCAGAAATCGGACAGAGGAATTCCGCCGGAATCTCATGCTTTGACGGCGAATTCTCGGAGGAAGACGACGACGACCGATACAAGGAGATTCTCCATCTCGTCTTAGCGGGTCCTCGTCGGAAAGTGTTGTTGTCGGGGGAAAATGCTTTGTCGGATTGGGAGTGTAGGACCGTGAACTTCATGGCGGATTACCGAATTTCCATTAACGTCGACGAAGACGCGGGTTTAGAAGCTTGTGAGAGTACAGTAATGGCGGAAGAAGGAGAGTAATGGAAGAGCCATCGAGTTTGTTTGGAGATAAAGATGAGGTTTTTTTTGGAGAGATGTAATGAAACTGTAAAGAGAGATTCTCGGAGGGAGATTTTGTTGTTGTTTAACTGATGATGATGATGATGATGATGACGACGACGACGACGATGGTTCACTCCAACATTAGGGATCTTTTTGAAGCTTTTGAAAGCTGAAATTATGGGATTTGGGAGTAAAAGTGAAGACACGTCTTTTGTGGAATTTTTGCAGAGGAATGTCTTTGGTGGGTGTTCTTATTTGTTTCACATACAATAATAATAATAATAATAATAATAATAATAATAATAATAATAATAATAATAATATACAAGAGTTGTTCTTTTCATGAATATAGTTATGCTAAAAAATATGATTAAGGTTGTTTTACATGTTGGAGCAATTATAGATGTTTGCTTAAGCATAAGACATGTATTCAGCTTTATAATGGACTCACAATCTCAATGCAAAATTATACTTTTCACCTTTTGCCCCTTTGCCCTTTTTTTTTCTCTTATGGTTTTCACATTTTATTTAAATAAATTTATGAATAACTACGTAATGAAATGACTATACCTATGAAGTGCACTCTCTAAAAGTTTAAAATTTATATTTTAATACACCCGTGAGGTAGCTCCTCTTTTTTTTATGCATGGGAAATTATTATTTGTTACGTAAAGTGAGGAAGTAGAACAAGCTAGCGCCACAAACACCTAATAATTGCATTCTTAATTGCTAAGTCTTGGGGACATGCATATGTATGTGTACGTGTGTCCATGTCTTCATCAAAGTGTGTGTATGTATGTATGTATGTATGTATGTATGTATGTATGTATGTATGTATGTATGTATGTATGTATGTATGTATGTATGTATGTATGTATGTATGTATGTATGTATGTATGTATGTATGTATGTATGTATGTATATATCATGAATGTTGGTGTTAGGGACCAATCTTTTGACCTATTTTAGGAGTGGTTCTAGGCTGTATTACATGTCAATTTCCCTTTATTGCCTTTTGCAAAGGTGGTTTGATTCTTTGTGTTAGTTTCATGAAAATGATAGGAGGAACTAATACTATGAGCTCCCAGCTACAAAATGTAAAGGTTACAATATTTTAAATATCTAATTAAAATTTTAATGTAAAATTCCATAAAAATACTCAAATTTCACAAAAATGTATCAAAAAATAAATTAACTTTTAATTTGATAAATAAAAACACTAAATATTAAAAAATGTACCCAAAAAATACTTCAACTCTTCAAATCGAAAGAAATTTTATACACGTTCTTTAATTACATTGTTAATGCATTTTTTTATTATATTTTAACATTTTTTGTATGTATTTGTTAAATTAAAAAAATTGGTATATTTTTTGATACATTTTATATAGTTCATGTATTTTTTAGGGGAATTTTTCTAGTTTAAATTTTTTAAGTTTTACATGCGCAGTGCTACGAAACTGAACTGAGACATAAACCAGAAACTCTTGTAATTCACCTGACTCCATGGGAAGATACACTAAGAAGTACTATCCTTCACATGGGAAAAAAAATTGAACAAGAGAAAGAACCACATATCCATATACCAATGTATATTACATACAAAGGGTATCTCTCTCACTAGGGGCATTCCTCATCTTAAATCTCTTTAGCCAAAAGCACAGAAGAAGGGATGAGAGTAGGTTCCTCACAAGTTAGCTGTGGCTTCATTGATTTCTTCCAGTGAGATTGCCTGCAACAAACAGACAAGAACAGCTTCTTATGAGCAGAAAAGGGCCAAAACTGATAGTAGATATGGTAAGAGGAAGAAAACCTCGAGCTAGCAAATGGGAAAAATCACGAACAAGTTACTATGTAGATTCGAGGTCTACGACTACCTGATCGTTGCCAGCAAAATCATCGTCCGGAGTCAAGAAGAGCAGACAGTGGCATTCCTTCCTGATGACGGAAAAGAGTTTCAGATCGAGGGGATGATAAATCAAACGTTTCTTGAACTAGTTGTTAGCCGATAAAGATCAGATTCTCCTATAAAAAAGGACAGAGAGTCGATGTAAGTAAACCCAAAAGATATCCCATTCCTCTGGTTGAATACTCGGAACAAACATATCCGAAAGATCTCTTCTAAAATAATCGAAGGGGTCTTACAAATTTATTCTTCTAAATTGGAGGTTGACATATTACAAATCTACAACAAACATTTTCGCATTACCAAAGCTGCTAATACTAATTTTTGCGGTATAAATTATCGCCAATTAACATAGCTTCAGTAAACCTCTAATTCAGATAGTTGCCAGTGATTAAGGAAAACATTCTCTGCATGAATCAATCTTTCATCAGAAAAAAGAAAAACGTTCTCCGCTCAGACCTTACTACAGGCCTCGGGCATGTCCTGCCAAATCCTTGCTTATTAGTCTAAGTTACATATCTGTTTTCCACATCATGACCAAACACCATCGCAATAACCGAGTCTAGTTCATGCAATACCTAACACGATTTGCCTAGAAGACCCACTTAATTATTCGAATCTCTAACATACTTATAGTCATGTCTAGTAGAAGTGAAGCCTGAAACAACATCTAATACCGATCTCACCTTTCTCTCATCGGAACACATGGACAGTTCCAAAAGCCCTGTCCAACCTCAGCCGCTTTATCATCATAGTGCCTAAAACAACAGAAGGATCAAACTTTGAGATTAAGATACTGCAGCTTTAAGATTACACAGAGCAAGTGTCCAAAATGTTCCTCAAGATAGCAGCAGCCTAGGGCTGGAGTTTTACCTGCAGGGACAAAGTGGTGCACCGTATGAATCTTTATGTTCAGCCAGTCCCTGCACAAAATTTTCCCAGAAACTTAAATATCAAAACACTCAACCAAAAGACTCGAACCCAGATTCTCAAATTCAGCGGAAAACTCTCAGAATTCTCATACAAAAGCTAAAATGTCATATACTTCCATGTGTTAATCCAACCCAAAACTCATGACAGAGTCACGATCCCACACATTCAGGGACGAAAAGAACAAAACCCATCATAGATTCAGCACTGAAAACTAAAGGGTCTGCCATTCATCAGTAGTGGTGAAATCAATATCACATTTTCCACAGAAAAATTCAGGTGATACAGCCATGAAATGTACCTTAATCACAACCGCAGTGACTCCTTTATCAACACAGAAGTACGTTCCCGAGCGACGAACGTATTGCTCGGAGAACTTCCTCATGATCTCCACAGATTTCTCCGACGGTTCTGCTGCGAAAAACCATCAAATTCAAGCCAAAACCGATCTCAGGAACTTCAAATTCAATCGAAATAAGAAGAAATCAGAACAACCCAGACGGAAAAATATTAGCAGAGCTGTAGAAACCCAGAAAAGAGGAAAAGAGAGCGAGACGATGGAAGAGAAATGGGAAAATTTCAATTGTATTTTCTATCTGTAAAATGTGTCTGTACAGGTGCTTATATACAGCAATAAAAAATAACAAACTTCCTAACAAATCAAATAACAGAAAGAATGAAAGGAATTGTGCTAACAGAATCGTTACAATATATTTAATATGCCCTCCTCAAGTCTAATTTGGAAGAAACAGACTCGAAAGATGAAAACGCTGCAGCAAACAATGGAAGACAGCAGGTTGAAGAGCCTTGGTAAAGACATCAGCCAGCTGATTTCCTGTTGTAACATGCATAGTGCGAAGAAAACCCTGTCGAATCTTGTACCGGACAAGATGACAATCAATCTCTATATGTTTAGAACGCTCATGAAAGGCTTGGTTTGATGCCAAATGCAGGGCTGACTTGTTGTCGCAATACAAATTCGCAGGGGTGACATATTCCAGCTGAAAATCTTGCAACAAATTATCAATCCAAACTAACTCACAGGTTGTGTTTGCTAAAGCCCGGTATTCGGCTTCGGTGCTGCTGCGAGAAACCACACTTTGCTTCTTAGCCTTCCATGAAATGAGGGAAGTGCCAAGAAAGACGCAAAATCCAGAAACTGAGCGTCGAGAATCCGAACATGTGGCCCAATCAGCGTCAGCGAATGCTTTTAAGTGTAAAGCAGAGTCAACCGAATAGAACAACTCTTGACCAGGGTTAGTCTTTAAGTACTTGATCACCCGAAGTGCCGCTTTCATGTGCAAATCAGTTGGACGTGACATGAACTGAGTCAACTTATGAACTGCAAAGGTAATATCTGGTCTAGTGATAGTTAAATAGAGAAGACGTCCAACAAGAGCTCGATATGAGGTTGAATCTTCCAAAGGCTGACCAGAATCCTGTGACAGGTGTAAATTAGGATCTAAGGGAACAGAAACAGGCTTAGTGGCAAGCAAACCTGTATCTTCAAGAAGCTCCAAACAATATTTCCGTTGAGAAAATGGAGATGCCCGATGGATTCCGAGCTATCTCTAAGCCCAAGAAATACTGCAAAACACCCAAGTCTTTAATGTGAAAATGATCACGAAGCATAGTCTTAAGATGAAGAATGGCATCATCATTGTTCCCAGCAATGATGATATCATCCACATAGACTAGGAGAGCCACAAAAACAGATCCAGTTTTCTTAATGAAAAGAGTATGGTCTGATTGAGACTGCCGATAGCCAGCTCGAATCAAAACGGAACTGAACTTGGTGTACCATTGCCTCGAAGCTTGATGTAATCCATATAAACTTTTGTGAAGTTTACAGACAGGATTAACAGGAAGAGGATCAGTAGAAGTATACCCAGGAGGAAGATCCATGTAAATCTCCTCATCAAGCTCCCCGTGTAGGAAAGCATTAGTGACATCCAACTGAGATAATTTCCAATTCTGAGTAGCAACAAGAGCAAGCAGCAATTTAATCGTAACAAGCTTGGCAACCGGAGAAAACGTATCAATGAAGTCAACTCCTTCTTGTTGGGTAAATCCTTTCGCAACCAATCTGGCTTTGTATCTATCAATGCTGCCATCAGAATTCCTTTTGATTCGATACACCCATTTGCATCCGACAGTGCGTTTATCAGCAAGCAAACTAACAACAGACCAAGTTCCATTGGCATGCAAGGCTGACAACTCAACATCCATCGCTCGAATCCAATTATCAGATTTCACAGCATGTTTAAAGGTTCGAGGCTCTGTGTCTTGGCTAAGCTGAAAAATGAAATTCTTGTATAAAGGGGTTAACTTGTCATAAGACAAAACAGATGACAATGGATATAATGGCTCGGGTGGGGAAGAAGGAGAAGAAAAGGTTTCGTGTGTAGTGAAATAACAGTGATAGTCCTTTAAGTAGGAAGGGGGATGTTTATTTCGATGTGGTCTATTATCAGAAATAACAGGGGTAGGGGAATGAGAAATAACAGGGTTAGGGGTAAGGGAACTTGCAGAATCGACAAAAACCTCAGGTACAGATAAATCCGAAGAAGTGGCTGAATCTGCAGGAGAAGTGGTATGGTGGGAAGGAGAGACAGCAAGAATAGAGTCAAAAAAGGGTAAAGGTATAATAGTTTGAGGAAAAATAAAGTCAAGAAAAGAATCAGAGGGTAAAGGATTTGATACGAAGGGAAATATATCCTCATGGAATTCTACATTCCGAGAGATATAGACTCTGTTGCTGTCAAGGTCTAAAAGCTTATACCCCTTATAACCATCAGGATAGCCAATGAACACAGCAGCATTAGATCGCGGGCTAAACTTGTGACGCTCATGAGCAAAGGTTGAGCTATAGCACAAGCACCCAAAAGCTCGTAAATGATCATAAGTCGGTTGTTTACACATAAGTACCTCAAAAGGACTGCGATGTTGCAAGAGAGGCGAGGGCGTCCTATTCACCAGATAAACTGTTGTACGAATACAATCAGACCAAAACGGCAATGGAAGATTGGACTGAAATAATAAAGCCCTTGCAACATTCAATAGATGCTGATGCTTCCTCTCAACAACAGAGTTCTGCTATGGGGTGTAGGTACATGAGAAAAAATGTTTCATGCCATGTTCTTGACAGAATTTTGTGAAGGCCAATTCAGATGAATTATCACTACGGATTGCTTTGATTTGAGTTCCAAACTGACACTTAATCATAGCAACAAACTCAGGAAAGACAGTGAGAACATCACTTTTACGTTTGAGCATGTAAACTCATGTTGCTCGAGAAGCATCATCGACAAGAGTAAAGAAAAAACGAAATCCTTCCACAGAAACAATGGGAAAAGGACCCCAAATATCCATATGAATAAGATCAAAAGGATTAGGAGAGAGATGATTATGAGACTCAAAAGGTAGACGTTTCTGTTTCGCAAGATGACAAACTTTGCAATGAGAAACAGAAAAATCTTTACGAGAGAGATCAAGAATAGGAGATAACATCTTAATTTTCATATTAGAAGGATGTCCAAGGCGTTGATGCCAAAGATGAGCATCTACAACAATGGCATTACAAGAAAAAGAAACAGAAGAAACATGATGTGAAGTATCTGAAATTGAAAAAGGCTTGAAGCTAGTATCCAGGAGATATAGATTGTGATGAAGACTAGCCTTCCCAATCATGTAACCCCGAGTATGATCCTGGATGAAACATGAACGAGAATTAAAATGAAATGAGAAATCACTGATCCGGATAAGGGAAGTGAGACTGACAAGATTAAAACGAAATGAAGGTATAAAAAGAACATTATGAAGAGATAAAAAAAGGATTAATTATGACAGTTCTAGAAACAGTGATTTTTAAACAATGACCATTGGGCAAGGTAACAGAAGTTGCTGGAATGGATTTAACATCAGTAAAGAGACTCAAATCAGAGCAAACATGAGTGGATGCACCAAAATCAACAATCCAAAATCTGTCAGGAAATGATGTAGATAAAACTACTGCAGAATCCATAATCAACGAAGAAATGACATGAGAAATACCAGACTTATCAGGAGCACCAGATGCCGAGACTGAGGGAGCTGAATTCATGTTCAAACGTTCTCCAAGCATTTGGTATAGCCTCTGTAACTGTTGAGGAGAGAACAAATCATTTTCAGAAAATGAATTGTTAGAATTATGCAGACCTGAGTCGGTTTGAACAGCAGCAACAATGCTCTTGCTGGGAGGATGCTTCGGACTAACAGAGATTGTCTTGGTGTCTGAAATTCTCTGATTGCTGCGATATCCAGGAGGATACCCATGTAATTTGTAACACTTATTGACGGTATGACCATACATACCGCAGTGAGTACAGAGAGGCTTTTGCTTAGGCCTTAACTGATTTCCAGAAATAGCAGCAACCACATCAGACGACTTAGTATCAGTAGGAGGAAGAGCTTTGATCCGACGTTGGTGCTCATGTTGATTCACCAGATGAAAAGCCTTCTGAAGATCAGGCAGGGGATCAATCAATAAGATCTGATCAATGATATTCTCATAAGAATCATTGAGGCCAAATAGAAAATCCATAACAAACTCCTCCTCAAACATATCATTCCATCGTTTATCAACATTGCAGGTGCATTTAACACACTCACAGTAAGGTGAAGAACGAAGAGATTTACGTTCTTCCCACAGAGCACAAAGCCTGTTGAAAAAAGTAGTGACATCCAGCGAACCTTGCTGGAGGGAGTACAGGCGCCGTTTAAGGCTGAAACGGCGGGGAGCATGCTGTTGCTGGAAACACTTCAACAACATATTCCACATCTGCGAAGCAGTCTTCGCATAGAGAAGCTGAGAATGAATCTCAGCGGAGACAGAATTCATGATCCACGCACAAACCATGATGTTTGCACGAGACCAAAGAATCAATTCAGGATCAGAATCGGGGGGTTTAGGAAGAGGACCGTCAACAAAACCGAGCTTATTCCGACATTCAAGCACCATAGTCATGGAGATATGCCAGGAATTAAAATCGGTAGCACCAGTAAGAGGGCGAGAAACCAAAACCAAATTCGTCTGATCAGAAGGACCCAAATAATAGGGACTGATATAAGAATCAGGAGCTGAAGGCTGAATCGGGACTGGAGCATGAGTCACGGATTCGTCAGCCATTTTCCCAGAAAATGAAGAAATCCCAGAAATAGGAAAGAAGAATAGTCAAAGCAAGGAAATCCGAAAAGAAAGCAAGCAAAATCAGAAAAAATCACCAACGAAAGCTGATTTGTGCTCTGATACCATATTAGCAGAGCTGTAGAAACCCAGAAAAGAGGAAAAGAGAGCGAGAGGATGAAAGAGAAATGGGAAAATTTCAATTGTATTTTCTATCTGTAAAATGTGTCTGTACACGTGCTTATATACAGCAATAAAAAATAACAAACTTCCTAACAAATCAAATAACAGAAAGAATGAAAGGAATTGTGCTAACAGAATCGTTACAATATATTTAATAAAAAAGGATTGAAATTTACATTTCCTCGGATTACAAAGCGCCGCGAAGAGTTTATCGGAGAGGCAAGTGCAACTGAAACGGAGCTGAAGCTACACGAGGCCGCTTGAACGTTCATGGCTTTAGATCTTTTATGAACAGACAAAACGAGGGCTTTGTGAAATTTCTTTGATTTCACGAACAATGTCGCAAAGTTTTCTCCTTGATTATTGGATAACTCGATTTTGTAGCTTGCAGGCCGGAAATTCAGATTTTAGTTCGGTTTCAAATATTTTTCTTTTCGAGATTTTTTTACGTTTATTGTTTGCCATTCAACTCAAAATATAATGATCGATGACTCAAGGCCCAACCCTCTGACTGAACTGGAGACTCTCAAACTGAACACTTTTCCTTTTTAAAACTCAAAAAACAAATTTGCATTTTGGCCCCTAAAGTAAATCTAATTACAACATTGGCAAAAAATTACGGAGAAGTGCGGAATAACCGCTCTGAGGGCAGAATTAAGAGGTCACCATTTACTGAAACCACCTTCTCATCCTTAGCTCCGCACTGGAAATAAGGGTTTTGTTAAACATCCCTATCGGCTTGGATGCTCGAGAAGCTAAAACTGTCGAATTTAGAGCGATTCACGAGAAAGAATCGCCACATTATGGACGACTATTACGAGGAAGAAAGAATACGTATCTCTAGGACGACGAACATCTCCGAGAAGATCGAAAAGAAAGGATGATAAGAGCATATACATTATGTGAAAAAGGATGAAGAGAAGAATGCATTATGATTGGGTTTAGAGGAAAGGGTCTAAACCGATCAATACCAAAACCTGAAATCCAGTTCGGGATCTAGACGAGTTACTTAAATTCTGGAGCTTTATTCTACTGATATGCTTTCATCTACTACCCGACATGGTTTTAGAAGATGTTTGAGAAAGGTTATGAGTTGTCTTCACCTCTTGATTTTCGGCGGAATCATCCATCAAGTGAATGGTGAGCTCAGGAGGAGAGGAGGATGACTGTAACAAAGAAGAAGAAGAATGTTGGTTGATTGCAAAAGAGAGGAATCGAAGAAGAGAAAGGGGACATGACAAGAAGGGGAGGATAGCTTTTACAAATTCAACCCGGAAAACGTTTTCATCATGGAGCAAGATTCTTGCACTTTCGTGATATACGGAATCAGTCTCAGTCTGATGGTTTCGAGAATTTTCGTGTTCATACAACTTTATAAACTTCTGGTTCGTATCCTCTGTTTAAATCATTTGAAGCTACAGAAGGAAAACAATTTTTCAGGGACAATGGAGTGGAGGGGGAACATCGACCATGGAAAAATGACTCGAGGGCAATGACAAATAAGCTGTTTAACCAATTTGAATGTCAACTTGTCCACCGGGAATAACACGTAAGAATGGTTCCCGATGACAACCCGACATTAATCCCCAAACCTTGTGTCATCAGTCGATGCATAAAATCTGGCATGAATCTGGCATTATGCAACAATGTCAACCCAAACGAGCATCCGTATAAAATACACCTGATTAGACGATGACGAGTACATACAGTAGCGGACCCAGAAAAAAATATCAGTGGAGGCACTAGTAATTTTCTCTCTCTCTCTCTATATATATATATAAAATAAAAAAACTAATAAAAATATACCGCAAAAAAATATTTACGTTGTATGGCCAAATTTTATGATTTTTTATTTTTTAAAATATATTTATAACAACTTTATTTGTAATTATCTAAAATATATATTTTTTAATAAAACAAACTAGATAATCACTCAAAATTGATTGTCAATCCGATTGCGTACAATTGTCTTCACAAAATTAATTGGTAAAAAACATCTCTTGAAAATCGCGATAGCAACGAGCAAAATCAAAGTTAATTTTCAAAGTCGGTATATCAATAGATATAAAATATGTTTCTTTATTTTCATCATAAGAACAATAATATTTCCAAGATTAGCCAAATTAAAAAAATGTGTCTATCTTTCATCAAATTATTGATTTAGATGCTAAGTTCATATCGAAGAGATACTTCTTCCGAAAAATTGAAGTTATCTGGATAAAATCCAGTCAATTTCATCAAATGCAAAGATAAATCATCCAAATAAAATTGTTTAAGTATTTAGGGGTTTGAGAATTCGATATATTATTGAATAAAATTTTACCACTATCTTAAAATATCGATGCAAAGTTTTTTTGAGAAATTTATTCATTAGTTTCTCTATCAAATCAAATACAAGAATAAACAAATATATATAACAACAAATTTATAAGTATGATCAAAATATAGAAACTGATGAACAAACAAAAAATAAAATTATTTAAAAAATTATAATATCTAAATATTTTTAATTTTACTATTTTTTGGTTTTTTATATTATGATTGAATATTTGATTTGTGAATTTTTTTTTAAAGAATGAAGAGATGAAATATTAAAAAATAAATGTAAAATAAAGAGTAAAAAACGGTAATATGTGATCAAATTTTAATAAATAAAAAAAGAAATAAAAAAAACAAAGAGTAGGAAGAGGATACCAATAAAAAATCAAACGAGGGCCTTCTACATTTTGTACTAAATTGTTTTAAAAATTATAAGTAAATTATTTTTTAATTAAGGAGGTGGGGGCATACGACCCCACTCTAATCTATGTGGGTCCACCTATGAGTACAGAGATTTTGAACTGTTTACCTGGAATATCGATCCATAGGACTAGAATCCCTCGATAATTCCCTCCCTCCATATTGATACCGATGCGGATCGGGCATGACGAAGTTAACATCCTCGATAATTCATCCTCTTCCATCTCGATTTCTTCTGGGAGCTCAATGAATCTATCATGACGGGCATAAGAAGAATCATCCGGACCCTTTAGCCTTAACCTCTCCATCCCGACAGAAAGAAAAGTTACAAGTATAGACCAAAAAGTGACAAGAACGATAATGCAAACATAACACGTCATTGGTTCTGTCTTGTGTGTTGATGAATGATGATCATTATAAAATCTGTTGATCTATTTAAGCGAATTACAGTTGTAACATTTGAGGGGTATGTGACCACGCGCCTAGAGTTCACTTTCCCTTTTATCTTTCACATCTTGGAGACTAAAAGCTACAAAGGTCCAACCTTTACCTCACACAGTTACAGATATATTTATACACATCATATGTATATATATATATATATTCCCAAGAAACAATGCCTTATTTTTTTTTTATTTAGTTGTCTGATAACCTCGATGGGGTCCGCTGGAGACTGACCAATGAGAAGTAAGCTCCCACGGGTCCCTTTGCCAACAAGAACGAGTGGGTTCCACTCTCCACGAGCTTTCCTTTCTCCAAGACCGCGATCACGTCGCTGTTCTGGATCGTGCTAAGGCGATGAGCGATCACGACGCTGGTCCTCCCGACCATCACGCGCTCGAGCGCGTCTTGGACCACGCGCTCAGACTGACTGTCCAAAGCGCTCGTTGCTTCGTCCAGGAGCAACACCGCCGGGTTCTTCAGCACGGCGCGAGCGATAGCGATCCTCTGTTTCTGACCGCCAGACAACTGTACACCCCTGTCCCCTACGTACGTGTCGTAGCCATCGGATAACCCCGTGATAAAATCGTGAGCGTTCGCCGCCTTTGCCGCCTCCACGATCTCCGATTCATCGGTCGTCTTGTCGGAGTTTCCATACAGTATGTTGTCTCGGATCGTGCCGGCGAACAACGTCGGCTCTTGGCTCACCAGAGAGATGTGCCTCCGAAGCGATCTCAGATGGTAAGATCGCAAATCTCGACCGTCGATTCTCACAATGCCCTTCAACGGGTCGTAGAATCGTTCGATCAACGCAATCACCGTTGATTTTCCCGATCCGCTCGGACCCACGATTGCCGTCGATTTCCCGGCTTCAATCTCAATCGAGAATTCCCTAAAAATCATCACATCGGGTCGGGTCGGGTACGCGAACTCCACATCTACGAACTCGACCCGACCCGTGATTCTCTCGGGTTGATACCCATCTGGATCTTCCGGTTCGATAGCTGTGTAGCGATCTAGGATCGCGAAAACCGATGCGACCGCATCAGAGCCTTTGGCGAGATCCGTCGTCATGCTTCCGGCATCGGCGATGACCCGACCAGTACTCACCAAGATCATGAACGTCTCGAACAATGCCTTCGCTGTGATGTACCCATCGGCGATTAATCTACCGCCGTACCAGAAATCTAACGCCCAAGTACACGACGTCAGAGATTGCGACGTTCCCAGTCCGATTCCGGCGAACCATGACTGTCTTATGCTCTCCCTTCTCGGACCTTCCTGAGCCTTTTCCAGCATTTTCATGATCCGTTCTTGGGACGAGAATGCAGTGATGGTTCTGACGTTTGAGACAGCCTCAGCCGCGAGCTTGCTGCTCTCGTCCTGCGCCTTGATCGCCTTCCTCGACATGCTCTTGAGCATTACACGTCGTGTGTAAAAGCAAACGATAATTAATGGCTGGACCGCAATCATCACGATGGCTAACCTCCAGGCTATGACCAGACCCATCGTGCACGCTATGGTCACCGCTGATATGGTTTGAACGAGCAATGCCATCCGATCTCCCACAAGCGACCTCACCTGTCAGAAACGTAAAACTCGTTAATACAGCTCGGGGACTAGTCGAAGCTTGAACCTCGTATTATGTTTCCATGTGCTGTAAGAGAGACATTACTTACCACATTGGCATCCTTGGCAAGTCGAGAGCAGACAGCACCACTCGAGTTCTCGTCCCGATCGAACCAACCCACTTCGAAAGTTAGCAACTTTGATAGCATACGTTCTCGTATACGTTTTGTTAGGTATTCGCCCATATACGCAAAGTTGTAATGCTGGCTTATATTGATCAAGAACGAAAAAACCGCGAGTCCGGTGAAACAGAACGCGTAGATCCTCGTCTTCTCTTTGATCTCGTCGTGGCTCGTCAAGAAATAGACCGATATCATCGACCCGAGAGAATACGCATAAGCTGGTTGGACCGCCCCGAACAATGTTGCGCTCACGCAGCCATACAATGCTTGTTTCCACTCCGGTAGATTCATCGCGATGAGTCTCTTGAATGATGGGACGGGAAGCTTCTTATCCTCGGGTATCGAATCGGATATATCGGTGGCGCCTAAGCTCGAAGCTGAGGCTGAGTTAGCGGAACTTGATCTACTAACCAACGAGAGCCTTCGACTGCTCAAGCTTTTCAGATCGGTGCTCGAAGCGACATGCGAATTGGCAGAGTTGATGTTGAGATTTGACTCTTCCTTCTCCATTTGTTGTAAACGGACTAGAGAAGCGTAAAGTCCGTTTTCGTGTTGCATCAGCTCATCGTGCGAACCTGATTCCTCGATGTTTCTGTTCTGAACAACCGCGATGATATCAGCATTACGGATGGTGGAAAGACGATGAGCGATGACGATGGTTGTACGACCAACCGAGGCATTGTCTAAGGCTTCTTGTACTATCCGTTCGGATTCAGAGTCCAACGCACTCGTTGCCTCGTCGAGGAGGAGAATTCTTGGGGATTTGATAATGGCACGAGCGATAGCGATTCTCTGCTTCTGCCCTCCCGACATCTGAACTCCTCTCTCACCGACCTATTCATTTTACTCGCCGACAAAACAAAAATCAATATCTTTGCTTGGAACTATGAACTCAAACTAGAGAAAACTGGATTTCTGACCTGAGTTTCGTATCCATGCGGTAACTGAGAGATGAAATTATGAGCATTTGATGCTTTCGAAGCTTCGATGACTTCGTCCATGGAGGCGTCCTCCTTCCCGAACAAGATATTCTCCTTTATCGTGGTAGCGAAAAGGGCGGGTTCTTGGCTAACCAGACCCATTTGAGATCTTAACCATTTCAGCTTCAGCTTATCAATGGTTACACCATCAAGTAGAATCTCTCCTGCCACCGGGTCGTAAAACCTCTGCAAAAGCGATACCACGGTTGATTTTCCCGACCCGCTTCCTCCCACTAGTGCCACAGTTTTCCCGGCCGGGATCCTCAGGGAGAAATCATCGAAGATCATGGATTCGGGTCTCGACGGGTACGCAAACTTGACGTGCCTTAACTCGACTTCTCCTCTGACTTTTTCAAGAACGTCGCCTGCTGTATTGTCAGAATCGATCTTCGGAACTCTGTTTATCACTTCCATGATCCGTTCCCCCGATGCAGACGCCTCGGAGAAGTACTTCAGATTCGACAAACCAGCACCGAGTGATCTGAAAGCACATCAAACCCTAACTATGGTTGGTTTCTTGAACACCAAAGCAACCCTAGAACAGCGACATATATATAGAGAGACTTACACGCCGCCGATGGCAGCGGAGGCAGCGACAGCGAAGACAGTACCGCCTTGTGAGCCGTGGTACATGACCATTCCGCTTCCATACCAAGACATAAACGCCCACATGGCGAAGGTAATGCCGTTGCTTCCAATGGCGATTCCTTTGGCAAGCCCTTGTTTCAGACCGAGCTTGACCGAACCTTGAAGGGCGGTTGAGAACTCGGATATGGTTTTGGATTCGGCGACGAAGGCGTAGACGGTGCGGATGGAGGAGACGGCCTGCTCGGCCATCGAGCCAGCCTTGTTGTATTCTTCGCGTATCTTCCTGGAAATGCTCATTAGGGCTCGTCCGTACAGCAGGCCAGGGATGACGAGGAGGACGATGAAGGGAAGGCCCACGATGGCTAATCTCCACAGCAAGATGAATCCGACCACGTAGCTTCCGATGAATGTCGACGCGTTCATCAAGAAGTTCGGTATCTGTTTCCATACATGCAGGTGTCATGTATACATCTATACGTATACGTGTATGTATACATGTATATATATATATATACCTTTTCGCTGAGGACGTCTTGGATGACGAGGGAGTCACTGGAGACAGAAGTGATAACATCAGAAGTGCTGGTGACATGGAGATCGAAGTAACCGACTTCTTGTCTCAGCACCGCTCTCAAGTATCTCTCTCTCATCCTCGCCGCTTGTCTCTCTCCCGTTCTTGTCCAGCAATACCCTTCTGCATGCACCGTTCATCATTTATTATTACCCGTAATTAATGAGAAACATTTTACATTATACACCAATTCGTATCATACATTTTAAAAAACAATATATCTAAAGGGATAGAAAAAAATTGAAATAAATGGTACGGAAGAGGGTTTTTTTCTTACCTAGGAAACATGCGACCCAAGATGCACATGCCAAATAAAGCAAGGCTACAGCATTCTGTTGATAAGGCAAGTGGGGAGGGGAAAAAAATACAAAATACAAAAAGAGAAGAAAGATTAGTGCCTAATAATGAAGGAAATAGTCAATCTGTTTATTTTTATTAATACAGTGATTAGCCTAAATACTAATAACCAGACATTCTTATATAGTTTTGACTTTGGTACATACATACATATATATATATATATATATATATAATATGTGTCTAATTATAGATGTTTAGAGGTGATTTTCTCTCAACTGTCAATATTCATCATCTTTAAGTATAAACTAATAATGTCAACAACTTTTTCTTGGCTGCACACACACATATATTTACATATATATATACAAAATCCTTCAGTTCATCGTGGAGATTTAGAGAAATACTGTTGAAGAATTTTTGTGATTAAATCCAAATCTTTTTTTGTCAAGGATTTAAATGAATGAATTAACACCACCCAAATCATTTCAAGAAGAGCGTTAGTACTCCTTCTTGCAAGAAAACCAACAGTAAACTGACATTTGTGTTTGCCTTATATACTGAATTTCTAACCCATCAATTTATAGAAAAGTTTTTAACAAAAAAAAAATTCTAGCTTGAAAAGTTGTTTTTTTTCATTGGTCTTGTAAATATTTAAATTTAATTTTGAAATTTTCCAAATTAAGTTAATCATACATGAATTGCACCAGATAAACCTGAAAATTACAGGTCAACCAGTATCTCTCTCTGTGCATGTCAACTCAGAGGGAGAGAGAGAGAGAGAGAGAGAGAGAGAGAGAGAGAGAGAGAGAGAGAGAGACCTTGCTGATGTTATGCATGAAGGCATCAGAGGAGAAACCAGAGGAACCACCGAGATTGTTCATGAGCTTGCTCGAGATGAGAAGAACAAGTGGGGTGTTGAAGCCGTCACCGACGGCTCCGATTAACCCTAATCCCATCAGCGTCCAATCCGCACCGTCCGCGTGCATGAATATCGATCTCATACTCCCCCCTCCTCCTCCACTCTTCTTCTTCTTCTCTAATTCCTCTCTCCCCATATTCTCTCTCTCTCTCTCTCTCTCTCTCTCTCTCTCTCTCTCTCTCTCTCTCAAGACAACACTCAGATTCTTATGAAACAGCAACAAGTATTGTTTTTTGTTTATGTTAATGTGTATTTGTGATGTGTTATTGCACGCTTTGGTTGTGTACTCGTGGCTTTATATAGAGACTTAGAGCGACACAACGAGGGGCCTCGGGGAACATAATTATGCGCACACACATCTATAATATACATATATATACATATAGATGTATATTATATAATATTATAAATTTTAAGATATAATACATGTGTTATTCGGGACAGCTTTTACTCATTTTCCCGTTTCTTTCTTTAAAAAACTTTTCACATATTTTTTTTTTCAAATAAATTTTGAATATGTAGTATTTTCAAATATTAACATGCAGTGATATAAATAATCAAATAACTCATGGCTGTGGAGTTTTATTCGGCCAAAGGGATCATTTTCAGAAGCTTTAAACTCAAATCATTTAACAGAAATGATATAATCGGAATTCGTTGACCATGATTGTTTTAAATTTTGATAATCGATGACAATAATAGTAATGAGATGATGACCAAAATTATTATATGATAAGGGAAGTAGTAATAAAACGTGTGTGCAAATGAATCGTCATTGATGACGATGCACGAGTCATAGACCCAATCTTCCATTTAACCAAAAAACAAAAAAACAATAACACGTGTAATTTTCTGTCCCTATATTTTTCTTACGAGTAAATCCATATTCATTCAATTAATTTTACAGAGGCTGTTATTTTTGTTTATGATTATTTATTTAAGAAAAGATATTTTAAAACAAAAAGACAAAATATTTGATCAGGGTTGTTTTTTTTAACTTTTTCTGTTTTTATAAAAAATAGTTTTCATTGTTCCAATAGATTTTTTTATTTTTGAAGATTATCTGCATTTGATTTAAATATAACAAATGCGATTATTTTTTTTACATTACATCAAATAAAAAATATATTTTAATTCAACTTTGACTCGACTATTTTCACACTCCTATAGTGAAATATTTTGTTTTTCTCGTTAGTGGATTGAAAATTTAAATATTGCTTTCAAATGAAATATTTTTTTGTTGGTAATTTAAATGAATAATTGGTTATGGAACCCTAATCTACTAATGGATTAATAAATCTTATAACATGACGGGATAAGATCTAAATATTTCTAAAAATAATTTATTAGCAAAAGTATTATTCAACTTAAATAAAATTTTGTTGTCTTCGTATTTATGAAATATATATGAACGTAATACTTGATGCAACCGATGAGAATTAATAATTTATATTGTTTCAATCATTTAGTCGGATTCCCTTCTCTATAACGAAAAAAATAATCATTTCCAATAGTTACTTCTTTAATTTATTATTGGTGATGTATATATATAGTTTATTTTTCTCATACTATGTATTACACATTAATTACGTCATATACATAGGCCTACAATTGAATTCGTCTTGTTGCGACATTAAAACCTCCGAGCAATTCCCAATGCTCTACCATGTGCTTGGCTTACACAAATCATTTTATATTACTGTATTTAGTGCTGGTGTATGTAAATGCGTATATATATATAGGTACTATGCAATTTGTCCCATTGCCGTACACGGTTATTATTGGATATATATTAATATTATTATATGATTAAATTTCATTTAAATTACATAAATTATTAGTATGATTTCTAATTGATGGCATACATTATTTTGGTAATTGATTCCAAGTACAGTGAATTTTAACTTTACAATCAAAAGAATAACTCCCTTTTTTCAGACTTGACGTATTATATATTATCATCTATATTTGGTATATATTCTCGTCATTTACATATTACACACACATTCATAATGATATTATTATTATTTTTAATTAACTAAATATTGTCATCGTGCACGATTGAATTTGTATATTACCAGCATATACCGCATTACAAGTATAAAAGCAAAGTGTATTATATCTTTATCGTCGAGTTACGAGGAGATGTGTGAGTCGGTGGTTAAAAATCTTGGTTTATATGGAGTATGTGTATTTAAAATAAAAGAGATAAATAATAATACTATATTTAGATTTGATTTTCTTTAATTCTCTTAAAAAAAATTTGTTTTCTATTAGACATATACTCGATCTAATTAGTTTGTAGCAATTTTGAAGAAATTTGTGAAATGATATTTTTATTGATAATCAAAATAACATATAAATAGATGAGAGTTTTATATTGAATAAGTAAAGTGGACATAATAATAAATATTTCTAAATATATATTTTCTTGACTATCTACAATGCATCACATAATTCGTATCATACCTGATACACGCCTTTATAGTCCTCCTATTACGCATGACGTTTGACGTATTCAAAATACTCAACTCCTCATGTTGGATTCTGTAGATATCTCAGGTCATAGGATCCAATCATGAAACCGTCAAATGAGATTCAAGTCATGACGTTAGTCCATGTGACAATCTCATGTGGGTCAATCCAGTATTTCGTTCTCCAACGAATACCTATGATTATGATCGTATCCAATACCCATGATCATCTCTATGATCATCTATCACATATCATACTTGTCTTAGTATATCATTGTTCCCACAATGATATATGACTAAGGAGTTTAGTATTGTTCATAACAATACATGGATTTCATAACACATTAAAATATGCATAACATATAATGAATCAAACACTCATCCATAAAACCATAGTAAGTGTCAATACATCAAATTTATCATAATAAAGCTCATACAGCAGTACATCATAGAGCACTAAACCCTCCCTCTTCACCAGAGCTTTCACCGTTTTGTACTTTTCAGTACGTGCTAGCTCCTAAAACATGGTCTTGAGCTGTCTGATCATATCAAACACGCTCTTTCCCACTGCCTCTGCAGATTCGGTGCCATGCTTCCTAACATGAGACAAGAAATCTTGTTGTCGTCAGTCTGATGCTTCAACTAAGCATCATTGACGGTCCTTGTGGGACTGACCGCAGGCTCTGGTGGTAGAGCCCCTTCCAGGACGTACGACTTCTATCTGCTTGAAAACTATTCTCAAGTTACGATACCAGTCTAAGAAGTTCGTCCCGGTCAGTTTATCCTTCTCAAGGATAGATCGCATCGTCAAACTCGGTACACTACCGGTTGACGCCATGTCCTACAGATAAAGACAAAACATAACGAAACAAAACAAAATGCAGATTCTATCAATGATCCACTACCAGCTAGTCCATCATAAATCAATGACAACATAGATGCATATACAATCTATACTCCCATAAAGAAAAATAACCCTTCAATAATTTTCTATATGGGACTAAGATCCATATTTCACATAAGAATGAGTTGTTACACTCAGCCTCACGCTATTTAGGTAGACATCTAATGTCAATCACATCCAATGTGACTCTTAGATCCTTTATGAGATTATGATATCAAATATCATTGCATACTCGTCTCATCTGTACCGTTAAGTCTCAAGTCAAACTCGACAACTTAACCTAAGCTAAACCATATTCAAGCTGTGGGAACCACGATTTCCCACCCTGCCTCAGAAAGATAATCCGGCACGCTCAACTTTGGCATGACTCGTGTTACGGACGATTCATGTCTTGATAAATGCTCTAGTAATGGAAGGTACACGCTTAGCATTACATAAAAAAAAAAGATTTTTAAACCACACTTAGATAAAGTATCTACTTTCAAGCTATGAGAACCACCATTTCTCCATCTTGCCTCACTAAGATAGCACGACACACCCAGGTTTGGCATGGCCCATGACACTGTTGGTATTCCTGGGATCTCTAAAGCGAATCTAATTCCTAAGAGATCGGTTCTAGGGTTTGCGCAGCGGATGAAAAACAAAAATTTTATAAAACACTAAAACCTATCATGCATGATCTTGTAGAAACGTTAGAACGCTTACCTCACTCGATTCGGGACCTGTATCAATTGATGTATTCGTTCGATCACTGTTGGCATGAAGAATACCTCGCCCTCTACATGTATCCACACGGCGGAAAGGATTCCAACGGTTGGAACTCGTCTGCTAGGACTGAAGAACGCTTTCTTCTTTGCGCAAGGGTTTCAGGGATTAATCTCTTAGGTTTTTCTCTCTCAAAACTTCTCAAAAGAGTCTGAAAGTCGTGTCAAAGAGCTTCGGAGGCCTTCCCCAAGGTTCCTTACCCTTAAAACCCTAATTTGAGTGAGTTAAGGAAATCCCGCCATCAGGACTGGTCGGTCCAGGCCTGGACAAATCGGTCTGAAGCTTATTACGTGTGGACCGATCGGTCCAAGGCTCTAGACCGATCGGTCTAGAACCATTGCCGGATCGACCAACATTTGGACATCACCTCAGGACCGATCGGTCTACATCTGGACCGATCGGTCTAGGCTGGCTGGACCGATCAGTCCAGACCTCTGGACCGAACGGTCTGGCCTCCGCTCCACCGGGATTTTCTCATCTTTTCTCGCACATTTGTCCTTTTCTATGTGTGTGACCCTGTAGACTCATCCGACATAGCAGTATAACCCGAAATCTCCATTTCGGCTATACAAGTCATAGGCGGTCTCTAACAAGACACTATGACTACCTATCTCGAATAGAGTTTGTTCGTGATCTTACGAACGTCTGTGATGATTCCGGTTGATGATCCTTTTGTATCACGATATCATATGTCGAACATAAGGATGATTCAACTGCTTTCTCGTTGACTGAGTTCTACTGTGTGAAATAGACGACGTTTGTCTATAGTGCGACCACACATTTCTACAGTCTCGCTCACACGAGGGGTCCAGCGATATCTCTCTCCTTTACGAGAGGTACAAATCTCGTCTTGACTATCTACAATCCAGCACATGATTCGTTTCGTACCTGGTCCATGCCTTTATAGTCCTCCTGTTACGCATGACGTATTCAAAGTACGCAACTCCTCATGTTGGATTCCGTGGATATCTCAGGCCTTAGGATCTAATCATGGAACCGTCATATGAGATTCAAGTC